TGGGGGGCAGTGGGTAGGACGTGGTCAGCATCGCAGGGAGAGGCCTGGAAGCTGGAGGGACCAATGGGGTCAGAAGCAGGTACCAGTAGGAAACTCTAGCAGATGCTGATTCTGGCTGACCCCACCCCCACCCCACAAACACCAACATCAGTGGCCTTAGGCTCTACCCATATGTCTACAGTGCTTCACAGACCTTACTTTGCCTCCCTGTGCCTCCGTGTCCCCATCTGTAAATGGGTATGCTCGTGTCCTGGCACCTGAGTTCTGTCGTGAGGGGTGAGTAATGCGTGCGTGAAGTGTGTGGTCCGTTGTCCAGCACACAAGAAATGATCCGTTAGTTATAGGGGTGAGCTTTCGTGCCCCAGGCAGCACCCAAGCACCCCAAAACACACCCCCACCTACTCAAGCCTCACAGCAGCCTGGGGGTTGGTCCTGGGATCTGCCCCGTTGCACTGGGATCGCGGTGGAGCCCCCGAGAGGACTCGGCCCCTGTCCAGGCTGCTGTAGCAGAATGCCAGAGACTGTGGGGCTGAAGCCTCAAACCTTCCTGTTCACAGTTCTGGAGGCTGTGGGGGGTGGTGCAAGACCATACCTGAACAAGTTGCTTCTCTCAGGGGTCTCCGTTGCAGGACCTGCAAATAGGAATGATAAGAACGCTTGCTCTGCTGCTTCTCAGGGCTGCTGGGAGGGCAAGCTGAGGCCATAAAAGGAAAGAAAGCCATCCTTTCCTTTGTACACTTCCCATAGGTCTCCAGGAGGGGATGCCAGGGAGGAGAGGGCATGGAGGCAGGACACTGTCTCGGAGGCCTGGGGAAGTCTGTCCCAGAGGCCTCAGAGCTGCCCAGCTCCAGGCCTCGTTTCAAATGGGTGTAAGGTCAGGGTCACAGGCCGAATCTGAGAGTGATCCCGAGCGGCCTGTTTGCTCCCTGGGCTCCTCTGGGGAGCTGAGGGTGGAAAGGGGCCAGGCTGGCCACAGGCTCACCTGCCTGCCTGGGCTGTGATGAACGATGTGCCCTGGGCCTCCACCAGATGTCCCGAGAACTGGGGAAGTGGCTTCCTTGACAGGCTAGGAAAAGGGGAGCAATGAGTAAGACGCTCTAGGGCATGAGGAGGTGTGGGAACAGACATGGAAAGACGTGCTCCACCTTCTAGAATGCCAAGTGGCTAAAAGCAGGGCTCAACGTCTGCTCATCCTGGGTGTGAATTGGCCACTACTTGACTGGGTGACAGTAGCCTCACTTCCTCGCCTTTACATGGGGAGGTGACAGCAGCACTGCTTCCCGGGCTTCCTGGGTATGCTTGAGCAAATGTAATGAAAGTATTTACAAAGTGCGTGGGCTATTGTATGCGCCCAGTCAATTCTTATTTATCACCAAGAACTAAAACCAATCGAAAGTATCAATAGACGGAGACCTAAGAAGCAACCAAAACCAATGCAGACGCCTGAGGAGCAGCAAGGCCAACGTGGTTGCTGGCTTTGACCTGTGAATGTGACTGTGAGCTTCCCTGTGGCCACATCAAACAGGGAAATGCGATGTTGTAGCACCTGAATTACTAAGAATGAGGAAACAGCCCAGTTCCTCAGGAGAAGCACTGCTGCTCTTTTGCTGAATTCTCCTGGGCATTTCTCACTGAGCAGGGGGCTTCCTAAAGGGCGCCTGAGAGAGGCAGTGGGTGGGCGTGGGTCCCGGACTGGGATACACACGGCATCGTAGGTGTGATTGTCACATGGAGCCACGTGTAGGCACCGCGAAGGAAAGGCGAAGGGAAACCCTGTACGGTGGCTCAGAGAAGGCAGCTCCATGGGAGGAGCAGAAATGTGACGAAGGTCTGAGCTCTCTGGGTTCAAAGCGAAGGCTTAAAGAGCTCCAAGGGGTGAGTGGCAGGACTGGGGACCGCTAATCCCTCAGGGAAGCAGGGGGAGCCCAAGACACTGCTCACTGGGGTCCTTGGAGGTCCAACTTCCCAGCTGTGTGGCCTTGGGCGAGTCGGCTCCCCTCTCTGAACCTCCATTTTTTTGCACATGCCAGTTAGAGTTACCCCTTCGGGGCTGTCAGGAGCACTGCATGGAGCCTGGCAGAGCAGTGTTGGGCGTACACTGAACGTTCCGATAAATGTTGGCTGTGTGTATACAGAGAAGACGCATTTGTAGTTACACATGCTTTTTTCAGGAGCTTCCTGATTGTTTGTTGAAGGAACACAAATAACTAGAACTTTATAGCTCTTTATCATTTACCGTTGGCCAAGGGTTCACTGCTGCTTCACCTGACCTTCCCGACAACACGAGGGAGACACTCTTACCCCTATTTGAGGGACAAGAGATTAGAACTTAGAGAAGCAAAATCCTTGTCTGTGTCACCCTTGATCCGCCCTTAAACCCAGAAGTGGGGAGGTAAGCGGGCAGGACGTGAGGGTCCTATGGCCTTTCCAACCCCTCCTCCCTTCCCAGGCAAAGTTCATTTTAGGAGGGCCTTAAGAGTAGAATCCTGGGACCGGAAAAGCATAGTGCTTGCCCTGTTCTAAGAGCTTCACAGGTGACATTCAAGCCTCACAGCCATCCCATGAGTTAGAGACTGTGGGGATCACACCCATTTTACAGATAAAACAACTGAGGTGCTGAGAAGCTAACTGACTTGCCCATGGTCACAGGAGGTTCATGTAGACCCAGGATTTGGGAGCTGGCAGCCTGGTTGGGCCGCGGAGTCTGTGTCCTTGACCCCCTGCTCTATGGCCTGGGCTGGCGCAGAAACAGGCTCGGGGGGGGGGAGGGATGTGTGTTGGGACAGGCCGAGGGCAGGCGTGTGATGAAATACTCCCCCGGGGAGGGCTGAGGGGCTCAGGGGGAGAGCACAAGCCAACTGGGGACACTGACTCACTCGATTCCTAGTCGGCTGAGGGGGTGGACGGACAGACATGCCTAGAGGATGTCAGTGTCACCCCGTGCCACCTCAGCCTGCCCACCCCCATCCCTGCTTACCGATGAAAAGACGTAGCCTCTGCCCCCGAGCTGCTCCCAGCCCAGCTGGAGAGCCAGACGTGACGTTATCTGTGTCCAGTGCCTGTCTGTAGACGCTTGGAAAGTACTGGATCCCCACTCCTCTTCGCCTTCCTCTTGGGTTCAGATGCGTGGGCCCCCCCCCCCCCCCCCCCCCCCCCCCCGGCCCCGGGGGGGGGGCCCCCCCCCCCCCCGCCCCCAGCCCCACAGCCAAGGAGGGAGGCATGCTGGGGGCAGGGAGATAATCCCGCCCGCTGCAAGAAGCACAGGACAGATGCGCAGGCTGGGGGACGTCCCCCTCCAGGCTCCTTCGGGCTTCCTGGCCTTGCTCCGGCCCCAGCACACATCTGTCCTGTGCCTTGTGACTGGCCATGAGCCCCTGTGGGAAGGGACCCAAGGAAGGCACTTCCACGTCCCTGGGGCCTGCACGAGCTGGCATAGGGAAGGAGGACATGGTCATTTCATCCTCAAGGCCACTCTCAGTGACTGTCATCAGACCATGGTTTTGGGGGCAGCATGTAGTGACGGTGAGAGCCCTTGTTCTGCAGACCTGGTCTTGAACACCGGTCACATTTTGCCCCAGTTACGGGGAGGGGGGGCGGCGCACTATTTCCATCTCCTCTCTGCATTCCAGGGGTCACAAGAAGCCCCAAGGAACCCCTCACTGGGCATGTCTGGACTGTTCTCCCAGCCTGCGGAGTAAGTTGATAGCCACGTGGGGTGTCACAATTGAATTCTGAGTCCCTTGAGCCTATGATGCTCAAGGGAATTGTCCAAGTGGCTTTTATTTAATAAAAACAAAAGATGACTTTTCTGCCATAAAATACAACCTCAAGCCCATTAAGGACCAACAGTGCATTTCCTCAGTGGAAGGCTGGAGTTATTTATAATGAAGCATCGATTGGCAGTCGTGCGAGCTGAGCGTCTGGTTTGGAGCCCATGTGTTGGGATGGGAAAAGCTTGAGTGGTGGAAGGTGTTTGGGTGTCCGGCTATCAGAGCCCCATGTTCAAAGCCCAGCCTGAAATTCAGCAGTTCCCTACGGGGCCCTAACAGAATCACTAATATTTTTTGAGGGTTTATGATGCCCAGCACCGAGCTGATGTGCCCTATTCCCAGTGCCTGCAGTTTTTACATCCGTCCTGCGAAGGAGCGCATGTGCCCATTGCATGGATGAGGAAACAAAGGCTCCAAGAGAGGTCACATAGCCAAAGCCACATGGGTGGCAGGTGGTCGAGGTTGGGTTTGAACCATGCCCGTTGGCACACCTCCAAGACCTCCCAAGCTTGCCAGCTCCCCAGAATCTCAGGGTATTCCTCCTTAGAGTGGGAAAATCCACCCAGCAAAGTTGTTCTGGGAATTGGCCCATGTGCCACTTAAGTCGCCTGGCACATGGCAGGTGCTCGGTGAGTGGATTTGTGGCCATGTCCTCCCCAGACTGCGGCGACACGGGTCTGTGTGTGATCCATGGCCCCCACGGAGCTCAGGGTACGCCGGGAGGAAGGATGCTTCTCTCTCTCTGGGCCTCAGTTTCCCCAGATCTGAAACAAGAGTCCCCATGCCGGCCTCTGAGAGGCCCTGGGAAGACAAAATGAGGGAATTATTCCTTGGCATGTAGTGGGTGTTCAGGGCCATTTGTCCTCTGTCTTCCGGGTAACGGGATGGTGTTTTCTGGGCTGTCCTGGCAGCAGACCTGCGTGGAGCCATGTGCGTACTCTACCCCGTGCCTTCCCCTGCACCCGCCCCCGACTCAGGCCCTCCTCTGTGGATTTGCTGGGTGGGGTGGGGGTGAGGTTGGGATGAAGGGTCCGGCGCTTCATCTGGTTTTGAGGGGCTCAGCCACTCCCCGGCCTCCACGCTTGGGTATCACTCGGCCTTTCTGAGCCTCTGCTTCCTCCTCTGTGCACTGGGAGCAGTGACGACAGAGCCTGTCTCTGGCTCTGAGTCCACCCAGACCCCCACCCCAGACCTGGCTCCAACCCCTGCCTCTCTGTCCTTTTCCTGCAGGTGTTTCTAACTGTGCCCAGGGACTGACTGGCTGAGGACCCCATCGGAGAGCCTTGGACACGCTAACTGAACGGTGAGGGGCTTTTGTGGTTGCAACTAGCGTCTCCAAAGGCCACACCGGTGGGGGACCCTTGAGAAGGGGGGAGCACTTGGAGAATGCCAGCCAGCTGTCTCCTGGGTTTGGGAAACATGGAGGGACCCAAGCTCCCAGCACTGCACTCCCCTCCTACATTGCGCCGAGCATCATCACCATTTTACCATGAGTTGAGGAATCTGATGAATGATTGTCTCCCTCACTAGACTGTAAGCAAAGGGAAGGGTTCTGGAGAGGCAGCAAAACAGGGTGGTCAAGAGGCTCGACTCTGAAGCTGGGTGTGGCTCCCGGCTCTGCCTCTTCTCCGCCGAATAACCTCAGGCAAGGGACTTAGGCTCTCTCTACCTCAGCTTCCCTGTCTGTGAAATGGGGTTTGTAGTTAAGTAAGCCCTTAAGCCATCAAGATACTGAACTGGCCTGGCTCAGAGTCAGGCAGATCCCCGTCGGCCTTGCTGGTGTTGGCCAAGCCCTTGGAGCCAGTCGCCATCACGCTTCCCCACTGACCCCTGTCTCCCCTCACAGAGAATGGGGGATGAGGATTACAACACTTCCCTCGCCTACGATGACTACCCGGACGATTTTGACCCCATCATGGTCCTGGAGGAGTCTTCTACCCTGGAAGGCACGACGGCCAGGATCTTCCTGGTGGTGGTCTACAGCATCATCTGCTTCCTTGGGATCCTGGGCAATGGGCTGGTGATCATCATTGCCACCTTCAAGATGAAGAAGACGGTGAACACGGTCTGGTTCCTCAACCTGGCCGTGGCGGACTTCCTGTTCAACGTCTTCCTCCCGATCCACATCACCTACGCTGCCCTGGACTACCACTGGGTCTTCGGGACGGCCATGTGCAAGATCAGCAACTTCCTCCTCATCCACAACATGTACACCAGCGTCTTCCTGCTGACCGTCATCAGCTTTGACCGCTGCATCTCCGTGCTCCTCCCCGTCTGGTCCCAGAACCACCGCAGCGTGCGGCTGGCCTACGTGGCCTGCATGGTCATCTGGGTCCTGGCTTTCTTTCTGAGCTCTCCCTCCCTGTTCTTCCGGGACACGGCCCATGTGCACGGGAAGATAACATGCTTTAACAACTTCAGCCAGTCGGCGGCCGGCTCTGCCCCGTGGCCCACTCACTCCCGCCTGGACCCCGTGGGCTTCGGCCGACACACAGTGGTGACCGTCACCCGCTTCCTCTGTGGCTTCCTGGTCCCCGTGCTCGTCATCACGGCCTGCTACTTCACCATCGTCTGCAAGCTGCGGCGCAACCGGCTGGCCAAGACCAAGAAGCCCTTCAAGATCATCGTGACCATCGTTACCACCTTCTTCCTCTGCTGGTGCCCCTACCACACCCTCCACCTGCTGGAGCTCCACCACGCTGCCGTGCCCGGCTCCGTCTTTAGCCTGGGTCTGCCCCTGGCCACTGCCATTGCCATTGCCAATAGCTGCATGAACCCCATCCTGTATGTCTTCATGGGCCAGGACTTCAAGAAGTTCAAGGTGGCCTTCTTCTCCCGCCTGGTCAACGCTCTGAGCGAGGACACGGGCCACTCCTCCTACCCAAGCCACAGGAGCTTTACCAAGATGTCATCAATGAACGAGAGAGAGACCAGCATGCTTTGAGGCACATCTGGGAACCCCGATGGACAGACCCTCTGGCCTTGGAGGCCACAAACTCTGCCTTCTCGAGACCATGGCAGAAACCTCCCCAGGACACACCGACACCCCCTGTAGTTTCCACGGTGTTGACTGGCATTTTGAGCTGGGAGTCCAGGGCTTGGAACTCCTTTGTTCGAGTGGCCTGATGGACTGGGCAAGCCATGTCCTCTCAACCTTGGACTCTTTCCATGAGGATCTGGGGTCTGGGGGAGGCAGGGAGGGAGAAGAGCTCAGGCCCTCAAAGGAGGCCGACTGAAGATACTCACCCTTGAATTTTCCAGGGTGATGGTGCTTTGCGGGGCCGTAGCTGTTTGGGAGACGGGATGGTGCCAGCCCCTCGCCCCAGGCCCTGCTCGCACCTTGCCTTTGTTTCCTGGGGGCCGGGTCATGGCAGGCAGCATCATCTGCAGTTTCCACCCCATCCTGGGCCTGCCCTTCCTTCCCTGGTCCTCCGACCCCGGCTGCCGGTGCTCAGAATAAAGCACACCAGGGCGGGGGGGCCAGGGAAGGAGGGCCTGTCCTCCTCCTCAGCGTCCTCCGAGCCTTGCCCAAGTCAGCTTCAGGAAGCAAGCTGGGGGGGTCCTGCAGGTTGAAGAGCGGGTCCAAGGTCTCAGTCACGGAACTCAGCGGAGCCGGCAGCCTGGGTCCTTGTCCTGTGCTGCTGAGAGGCAGGCGGTGGGGCGCGCCCAGGAGCAGCCCTGTTGCCGTTTCTCAATGAGGCCTGACACCTTCCCGTGCTACAGTGTCATTATCCCATTTACAAGTGACAAAGCAGATGTCCCATTTGGGGGTGGGGGTGGGGAGTAATTCACAGTGACACGCAGCTAGCCAGAAGCCAAGTTAAGAGGTGAAGCCAACTCTGTCTGGCTCCAGAACCTCTGTTTTTTTTAATGGAGGGTGTATCTATTGAGAATATTCTAGACTCTCATGATAGCCTACATTTACTTAGCATGCCCTATGCTAGACACTGTCCATGTGTTATCTCATTTACTCCCCTCCGCCCCGGCAGGCCTGAGTTAGGTATGGTTATTACTTCCCTTTTGCATATGATGGATAGCTGCAGCTCAGAGAGGTTAGGTAACTTGCCTAAGGGCGTCCAGTGGGTCTCTGCCAGAACCTAGATTCAAAAACAGGTCTTTCTGGCTCAAAGAAGGCTGCAGAATCAGGGTGTGGAGAGAGGCTTGGGGTTTTGACCGTAAATATCTATTACTTGGCAGATTCATATAAACCTCTTAATAGCGCATAACCCAGGCTTGCAAAAAGTTTTTCAAAATGACCCAACACGGCAAAGAAAGTACACTTGGCCTCCAGTCTCCCGACACCCACCCACACGTGCCCACCGTGGTTCCCATTTGCTGCACCCCAGGCGACCTCCAGGGAAGGTAGGGTGGGGAGAGAGGCTGGGCCGGAGGCGGTCTCCGGTGGGGCCGAGGCCCTCCGGCCTCCGAGTGTCCACATTCTCTTGTCTTCCACGTGCCGCCGTTGTGAAGCCAATTCCCTGACAAGATGCAGTGAACACATGTAATGTCTACACAGCGTTGGGCAAGTCCCCAAGGCCATGGGCTGTTTGGAAATCACACCTCATTAAGAGAGAGACTGTTCCTTCCCTCCTTGGGTCATTGTGCTTATGAGGAGACAGCTCGGAACTGACCCTAAGTCAGGGCGTCCAGTGGCTTCAAGAAATCTAAACTCGGGCCATCTGGGAGCAAAAAAAGGGAGCTTGAAGTCGTGGCCAGTGCCTTTTTTCACCTCCCACCACCGTGGCACAGGTGAAGGAGCTAAGGCACGAGACAGCTTGGGATGTCCGGCTCCAGAGGGACAGTCCTCAGCCACTCAGCCTCTGACCCCCAGGTGCTACTTGCTCAGGCCGGGGCCCTCACTCCTCCTGGGCTGCATGCCATCCGGGCCGGGCCAGGGAGCCAGGAAATCATTTTGTCGTTGGAAAAGCTGATGAGCAGGAGTAAAACTCAAACCAGCTGTTTCCTCCTTAGGGTCAGGCCTCTTTCTGGCTGCCCCACCAGGAGTTTCTCATTAAATACTGAAATGCAACCGTGACCTCCTCCTGCATCTTGTCCCTGCAGCTTCTTCAGAGTGTCTCCCAGGGGACATATACAAAGGTCCTGTGGTTCACAAAGAGTGTGTCCCTGCACTACTCCACAGGTGGCCAACGTGCTTTGTGCCTGAGAGGGCCTGCCCCCGTTCGGGGTCAGGAACCAGACGATGGGGCACCCATGCTGCTTCCTGGGTGGGGTGGGTGGGTGGAGGGCAAGTGGGCACAGGGACAAGAAGTGAAGGTGGGGTTTGACAGGAAGTGGGGAGGGAAGCACAGAGGAAATGCAAAATAGAGACAAAGCAAAGGGGTCTGGCATTCATTAAATAAGTCTTATGTGTCAGGCTCAGTATCTCATCAGATCCTCAAAAGGAGAAGAGGACCATCGGAGCCACATGGGTGATGCAGAATGAGAGGTTCGGCTTGCAGACCCCACCTGCTCAGGGGGAGCTCCCAGCTTCTTCAGCCTATGGGAACAAGGAGTGGGGGCAGGAGGCAGCAGGGGGACCAGAGGGAGGGGCTCAAGAGGGGACAGTGACCCAGATTTGGCACTGGCTGAGGAATGAGGAAGGAGTGGCTTAAGCCTGCCCCCAGAGTCAACTCAGGAGGGCTTAGGGGCCAGGCTGGGCAGGAGAGGATAGAGCCCAACAGTGAGTGCCACAAGGGGCGTTCCCATTTTACAGATGAGGGAGTTGAGAGCTGTTCTTTGCCGCAAATGGAGCTGGTATTTGCTTGGATGGAAGTGATCCGTGATTCCCCAGCCCTTCCCTCTCCCGTTCCTCCCTAGCACGTGGTGCTATGGTGGAGATGGGTGCCCTGGGCCTGTGATTGCCAAACCCTGGATTCAGAAAATTGGTGCTAGGGGTGGTATTCAGGACCAGGAGGATCCAGGAAGCTATTTGTCCAACCAAGAAATAATTCAGGAGGGTGGGGGTTGCTTGCTTTCTCCCTTTGAGGACATAGTTGCTTTTGAATAAAGAAGCGAGAGGTGAGAGCGAGGCTCCGTGCTGGACCTTCCTGCCCACCCCCAAACCCTCTTGCCTTCCTCCTCCACCTCACAGAGCAGCAGTCGAGGCTCAGAGAAGTGCAGCACACTGCTCAAAGTCACACAGCAGTGTTGTGAAATGGCAGCAGAAGGAAGCCAGAAATTTCCTACCATTCCCCAAATTTAGGACTTCAAAGAAACTGTGTTTTAAAAAGCATTCTCTCCACTTTATTTCAATTTCTTAGCAACCAAGGACAGTAGATTGTTAGTAATGACTCAAGATAACCCCACCCATCCATTCCAACATCCATCTATCCACCCAGCTACCCAGCCACCCATCCATTTACACAACCCATTCATCCATTCCATAAAAATCTGTTTAATACCTTCTCTTTGCCAGGCCCTGTGGTAGGCACCGGGAATGCAAGGGTTATCAGGGCATTCACAGTCCCTGTCCTCAGGAGCTCATTCGTCGGTCAGTGGGAGAGATAGCCAATTATTTTTTAAAAACCACACCCTTGATGGAAAACAACCACGCTAAGCGCTACACACCTATTAGAGAGAGATCTGACTCTGTCCAGAGGCGAGGGAAGCCTTGGGGAAGAACGCTTGAGTTGAGATGTGTAGGATGGGTAGGTGCTGATTCGGTGGCGGAGGGGCGGGTGCTGGAGAAGGTGCTCCAGGTGGCGGGAACAGCGCGGGAGGGAAGAGTGATGGCAAGGGACGGAAGGGGGTGGGCGCTGCATCAGAGGGAGGAGAATGAGCCCAGAGCAGACAGGATGGAGAGGAGGGCAGGGGAGGCCATGGACAGGGCAGGACGTGCTCAGATCTGCATCTTGATGCCGGGGGCTGCTCTGGGCGGGACAGGATGTGGAAGAACAGGAGGGGAAGCCGGGAGGCTGCCGCAGCCCCCAGCTGAGGGCGATGGGCGCAGAGGTAGAGCTCAAGAGAAGGGGACTATTCTAGAGATACTTAAAATCTACCCAAGCTTTCTCAGGGGAGCGGTTAGCGGGAAGCCAACGCAGGGCCCATTTCAGCGGCACAGAGGCCTCAGTGCGTTCCTTTATTGATGGAAATTAATTGTAAATATTATTCAAATTTACCTCCCAATGCACAATTACATTTCTCGGGGGAGCCCTTTGAGCACATAATAAAGCCCTATAAATAATACATATATTAACCTAAGAGGAACGGAGGCACATTAATGCTGCACTTGCGGGTGGCGGCTGGGGGAGTTTATGCAGACAAGACGCTAAGTGCTTGGACCGAGGATTTAACTTGGGAGATCACCCGAGCTCTGTCCTGGGGAGCTTCTGGAAGTCTCCCCCCATCCCCAGAGGGGCAGCTAGCTATTGCTCTAGAGGCCCAGTCAACGGCCAGGTGGTCACGGGTGGAGAAAGCACAGGTGTATAGGACCCTTACCTTGTTCCCGAAGCCCCAAGAAAACATTTCCCATAGTCATAATAGTTGGTTCTATTAACTGAGCATGCGCAGGGTTTGGGTCTCCCCCAAGTGCTTTGGTTTCATTATCTCGTTGGATCTTTACAACAACCTTTGTGGCAGCAGCCATTCCTCTCCCCACTTCCCCATGAGGAAATGAAGGTTCAGAGAGGTTCAGTGTCCTGCCCAGCATCAACAGCTAGTAAGTGACAGAGCTAGGCTTTCCAACTCAAGTGTTTAACTTGAAAGCAACTTGCGAACACAAACTGTCCTCTAACGAGACTCCTTCCTGGAGAGAGGAAGGCAAGTGTACGCTCCCTGTCCAGCGTCAGATTTTAAGGAGATGGGAACGGGGGTTGGGGGGTGGATCTGACAGATTGCTTTTTCCTCTTGGAGGAAGGAAATGGTGTCTGGATGGGCTCGTCATTTCCTCACAGCCCTAGGAATCTTAAAAACCACATCCCTTCCCACCCCCTGCCCCCATTTACAGATGGTGAAACTGAGGCTCTTTGCAGATCAGAGGGGAGCCTCCCACCTCCCTGACTGCTGGGACATGAGATGCATGCAGGAAAATGCCCACATGAGCCACTTTTCTGAGCACCACTGTTCTAGAGACCCGAGCATTCACTGAGCCGCTAGTTTGTCGGTAAAGGCTTTGGTGCTGAGCTGCCATGAAGGAGCCCTGCCCAGGATCTGGGGCGGGGGGGGGGGGGGGCGGGATGTCACTGGGGCATTTCCAGCAGAATCCTATAAAGGGAAAGCAGGAGACCTTGGAAACCCTGGTACAGGGCAGAGACAGGCCGTGTTTGGGGCGTAAACATTATCCCTCACGTTTGTCCTGCATATGGGTAACGATGCTCTCTATCCGGATCTTGGTGCTACTTACAGGGCTATCTTCGTCCATCCAACCTCATTTGTCTATACATGCGTGATCACTGCACTTTACTGTAGTAAGTTAGCCCTCAATGAAAGTATTTGGAAAAATAAATTTTAAAATAAAATGTAACATTTATGAACCTATTCATGGGGCCCGCAGGAGTGACACGCCACTTCCTTTGGCACTCTGGACAGAATCAGATTCAAGAGAGCAAGTCAGAGGGAGGTAGTCCCAGCAGGGACCATCCAGGGAGGCAGCATCTCGGGAAGGACTGAGCTCTCCCAGGGGTCACCCCAGCCCTTTCCCCATAGCCTTGGATGGCTATGACACAGGGTTGTGTGGGCTCAGGCTTGAATCCCAGCTCCACCATTGACGTGGGCTATGGTTAAGGCCCTATGACTTGGCCAAGTAGCTCAACCTCTCCAAAGCTTCAATGTTCTCATCTGGAAAATGGGTTTAAGAATCTGCAGCTCACAGGGTTGGCACGAGGATTCAAGGAGATGTCACAGGTACGCACTTAGCAGGTACCGGGCTCGCACATACCACCCACTTTCATCTGGAAGTACGTCAGCCTCCTCCCTGGGCTCTGGCCTGCCAGCCTTGCCCCGCCCCCCGACAACCCACCCTCCACGAAGCAACTGGAGTGAGCTCCCATCACGGAACACAGCAATCCAAACCCCTTACAGGGGCTTACAATGCCCTAGAGGATGGGCACTGCCTCTCCTTCTTCAGCTCATGCTGTTCCCCATCCAGGCGTCCCTCCCTCCCCAGACCACTGATGGCATAACCAGGTCCCCCTCCTCCTGCCGATACCAGCCCCTTCTGAGCGAGGCCCTTCTGGACCCCTCCCTGCAGGTAAAGCAACCCCATCCCTATTCACAGTCTATCAGATCCCCTATTTTCCATCCCTGACACTACTTCCTGCCATCTGGAAGAAGTTTATGTATTTGTGTTTAGTCGCTTTCCGTCTGTCCCTCTGCTGGGTGGAGAGCTCCATCTGTGCGGCAGAGCCCTTGTCTGTCTGGGGCACCTCTGTGTCCCTGGCACCCAGAGCGGTCCTTAGCCCAGGAAACGCGCTCATGATCCTTGGTTGTACAAATGAAGAAATAACCATAAGCTGATGTTCCTTTGATCAAATCATCGCCATTGTTGAGTTTCAGGACGATCGCTATTACAATACACTGTTTCCAAAGTGTTTTCACATTTTTTTCTATTCCGAAGAAACTTGCGGGAGGGGACTATTGCCCATTTCACAGGTATGGATACTGAGCTCCCCCATCCCCCCACTCCTGGCCAGGCTCACTTGGTTCAGAAGTGGAGAAGCCAGCATGGAGTTCTTGTCAGGGTACCAGCAGGAGCTCTTCCAAACCGAGGAGGTTTCCATTCAGGGCTTTTATCTCCCCTGGCCTTTTCCTTTTCCCTTTGTCTGATTAATTGCAGCCTGAAAATAAAGGAACCAGATGCCTCCCCTCCCACCCACAACACCCCCGCCCCTTGCATTGTTTTGTAGTTCTTTTCCGGACCAAGACTCTGTTAAGGATTTGGCTGGTACGACCATGACCACAAACTTCCTGTGTTTATCCTTCCACTTAGAAATCCACTTGATTAAGCAATCGACTGGGTACCAGGTCTGTGGTGGGCACTGTCCAATGCTATGGCAAAAAGTCCAGCTAGACACCTGATGCCTGAGGACCCCTAGAGCCCAGAAGAGAACCTCAGGATTTTCTTTTTCCCTGGTTTCCACCATGCAGGTGTCTGGTACCCATGCAGTAAGTATCT